ATTGCCGTTATGTATATAAGAATACAGTGCAATCCCTTACAGAAATTTCATGATAATCAGTGCAAACTAATACCTATTTCATACCTATGCAAACTAATGTTTTCAGTCGCATTAGGCGCATTAGGCTTTTTGCCACATAAATAACATATCTTGACCATTTTTGCCTGTGTACAACAGCACACATCTAATAAGCATAACGAGCATAACCTGTTCGCGTCATCTCACTGATCGCACTCTATTTTCCTATTGGCGGATGCAATCAATCCAACGCATGCGCACAACACTCAAAGTACTCTTAGAAAGAGAGGGAAATATATATTCCCGCACCGTGGTTCTGGGACCGCTTCCTCTCACTCCCTCTTATAGGCACTAGCCATATAGTAGTATTACATATATGCATCAGACGCATCAACTGCCTCAGGTCGAAAGAGAAGCAGTCAATGCGCTGAGTGGAGTGCTAAGAATTCAGTACGGTTAGTACAATCTGGGGAATTCAAGTACTCTCGAAGCGCTTTCGAAGCGCGCAATAATTAATTCGGAACGACTTTCTATGCAGTCTACGCGCATCATGCGTAAGAGCCCCAATACTGTCTTGAGATTTTACTCAAGTGTCGCCTTATTTTTCAACTATGAATCTAGAGGGCATCTTAAGACGTTACTTAAGGCAGTCGCCTTCTACAATGGGGATCCCATATATGTAATGATTACATATATGGGGGATCCCCACTGTCACTTATAGCCGTTAGGAGCGCTAGTGTACTTGGGGACATATGTCAATTTGTCTATATAAAACATAAAAAGATTAATATATTAATTTTGACATGCCGGGCATGTGTGTGGCATACGGATGCAAAAATAGGGGAGGGCATCGGTTCCCAAAAGATGAGGGAATGAAAAAACGGTGGATTACAGCAATAAACCGTAAAGATTTCCGCCCGAGTGCAGAGTCGCGTGTGTGTGCAGATCATTTTAGACTCGAGCATTATAATACCACTGGCTTTGATTCAGGTGAGTTTGTACATCAAAGTTGTTGTTGTTTACATATGCTATCAATCTAGTAGATAGAAATAAGAATTAGAGACTGTTGATGGCCGTATGATTATTTCAATTTTAACCTCAATCCTTAATAAATGTTCTATAAGTAGTGTATTAAAGTTCGCAGCAAATTATAAATAAATAACCGAAGTAAATAACTATTTTGCTATAGATACATTGATCCTTTTTTGTGACTTTTCATTAAAATCACACGATAGCTTGACAAGCTATCGACATTATATCGACATCACCTGTCTTTTCATAAATTCAACCTTTTTTCCTCTCAAAGGCGCTCCCCTATTCTTCAATTCTTCCTTTAATTGAGCTGCTTTCAATTTACTATAATCCATATTATTTATTTTTTAATAATTTTAATGTATGTACACGTACATATGTACACACTCCATTATAAGCGAAATACGCTTTCGCGATAATGTCCCTGTAGGGACTTGATACATTGATCGGACAACTCGTCCGTATGAGGAT